TCCTTGGAAGTCTTCACACATATCCATGAGGGGCCTGCAGCCGAGGGCCACTCAGATAAATGTCTTCCTTCAACGTGGAGCCATATTGAGGGGGGAGTGGGCTGGAGGGCTGGACTAGGAACAGGATTCATATCCTGGCCCGTCTCTGCCACATCCCTCCCTGCTCCAGCGTCCTCCCCCCAAGGCCCAGCGCGCCTCTCTGGCTCCCTGGCCAACAGGCCAGACTGGGTAAGCACCTTCGGTCTTGATTTCTCCAGCATCATGGCAGAAGCAAAGAAGGCTGCTTTGGGTAGGAAGCTGGGCCCCAGTTCCTAGACACTACCCTTTGGGGGTGGAGGGAGAAAGGAGAGGTCAAAGTGTAGGGTGCAGAAAGTGAGTACCTGCAGGGACTCTTCAACCCCGGTATGACACCATCCCCCGCCCCCGCACCAGCCCCACATCACGGCCCTCATGGGCTCTGCAGGGCCCTGTCCAGGCTTTGCAGCCACCTGTGTCCCAGTTTAGGAGCCATGTCCTCAGTGACCTCCTCAAACGTCTCTGTTCCTGAGACCATGGATTTACCTGGAGGGACAAGCCACCTAGAGCCAACCCTGCCCCTGCCCAGGGAAGCAGGCTCAGGGCAAGTTTTCTTTCCAGGGGGTACCTCCTGCTATGGGCTCAGCTGGCAGGGGGCTGCCTAGCCTTGACCTAGCCCGGGGCACATGTCGTCCAGAGGGGATTGTTTTCCCTCCTGGGGGCACGCGTTCTCCCTGGCTGCTGTGAGCTAACCAGGGAGAAGGAGGGGGAGGAGGGGGTTGCTGCCTGCCTTCCCCGTTATCTGCAGCAATCCACGGTGACTAATGCTCCCAGTTGGTAAAAAGGCAGTGTAATCAAAACACTTTTTTTTTTAGTCCTTAAAGTTAGTCATTCTCCCAGAGTGGAGGGAAAAAAAAGCCCACAGCAGGCACCATGAAATGCAAGCTGGGAGGCTCACACTCTGAGTAGAAAGAAAGCATTGGCCTTGGCAGCTCCCTGCAGGTCTGAGGCTTGGGCCCTCCTCCTCTGGGTCCTTGGCTACCTTCTTCCACACCCTCATTGGTTCACATTTTCTTTGCATCTGGCCTGTCTGATCCTTAAAGGACTTCCATGCCAAGTGGGGACCTGCCCTTTTCTCTCGCCCTGCAAGGTGCTGCCACCTGCTGGTCCTCGGCTCTGCAAACTGGAGGAAGCATATAAAAGCATCCAGGATGAGGCCCAGTAAGAGATTCACTGTAGGTACCTGACAGTGTGCTGGCCCACCCTCCGCCCCAGTCTAACCTTTTGGTGCTTATGCTTCTCCTGTTCCCTCTGTCTGCTGGTCTCTGATCCCACTTTGTCCTGACAGAGTCGCAGACTGTCAGGTACCTCAGGAACTATCAAGGGGTGATGGTACACCGTGGTGGCAAAAAGCATAAGGGTCAGGGCCAGGTTGCCTTGTTTGGAATCTCCATGTCACCACTTACTGGCCATGCATGCTTCAGCTTTCCATGCTGATAATAATAACAGCACGTACCTCATGGGGTTGTTGTAAAGATTAAATTTGAGCTGCTTAGAATAATACTTGGAACATGTGAGTGCTCATTTGTTAACTCATAAAAAATAATAACAAAATAATAAAGTGGAATTACACCATCACTTCTCCCTCACTCATACAAGGCAGACATTGATAATCAATCCCAGAACTTCTGTACCAAAAGAAGATTCCTCAGAATCCTCAACATGCTATTCCATGGAGCCAGTAACAAGAGATCTGACCTGGCATATAGACTCTAACTTAGACTCTTTATAATACATCCTGGAAGATGAGGCCCTGAGGAGATAAGTCTCCTTCAAGCTACTTGGAAGCCAAACCAAGGTCCTGATTGCTGCTTGCCGGCCCAGCTTCTAATCTGAGACTTTGCCTTGACCTTTGAGCCATCCATGTGGGCTTCCCACCACCTGAAACTCTAACACTGATATCCTCCATCTCCTGCCACTCTTGCTCCTCTCCCATGTCCTTGACCCTCAGCTACCCAGGAGACTGCTGTTCTGAAGCATCTTGCTGAGTATGTGCAGAGCAGGAGGAGGTAGGCTGTGAAACCACACAGACACCCGCGCGTCTGAATCTCACTTTATGGTGCACTAAAGATCTTCAGGGCTGTAAGGGAGCTCAGCCCATGGATCTGACCCCTTCACATTCAGGACGTTCCGCCTCAGGACTTCTGCTCTAATGAAGCCCCTCATGGTCCAGGGCCAAGTTCTGCCATCCTCACCCTTAGCTGGTTAGTGGTTGACTTGGTGAAAGAACTGCAGGGCTAGCCTGAGACTTCTGTGTGAGGAAAGCTGGGAGAGGTTAGGCTCTGACAAGCTCAGAAAGGAGGGTCAGCGGGAAGCACCTGCTTACTAATTTCTGAGTGAAAAGCTCCAATAAGAGGTCAATGGCCAGAGCTGGCCCTTGGGCTGCTTTCTGTCTGGCGAACAGCTTTGTCTGCTGAAGCAGAGTTCTGCCACCTGAACACTTAGCTGCAGGCTCCAGCTTCTGAGGAGGAAGCAGTCGTCACTGGACTTGAATCCAGGCACATCCTCCTCGACCTGACGCGCCTCTGTAGAGCTCCACATAGATGCTGGATTTGCTTCTTTTCCATCCTCCTCCTGAAAGGGTAGGATCACCCTGTACTGTGCTGCCCTTCAGTTATAAAAAGAAAGACACAACTTCCAATCCTGGGCCTGGAACCCCTGCAGCTGAGTTCTCTACAACCACAGGAGGTATTTGTGTTTCCTCATGTTCAGCAACCCAGGGGTCAAGACCACGTGGCTCTCATGCCACAGAACCATCCATCCTAGGCCTTTTGTTGAGCGAAAGAACCACAGGTAAGGAGATGGTTCAGCTCAAAGCAGGCCCTTTCCAGACAGACTCCTAGGTGGCCAGCATTCTTCCCAGCTGCCTCAAAGATGCTGCTGGCTACATGGAAGATTTGGGGGTAGAGATAAGCAGCTCAGCTCCAGTTGGGCCTCAGGCTGAATCCTTCCCTCCCAGAAGATTCATATTTGGCTTCATCCCAAGCCATCCCTGACTCCTCAGACCTGCTCACCTCTCTAGGCTTGCCTCTCTGTTCTGGCCCAATCGCACATGTCTCCCCCATTTTCCTCTTCCCCGAGGGCCTCAAGAGTTAACAAGACAGTTGACTTGGAAATGCAGAAATGTGGGAGACTAAGGAAATGTGATTCATGTACTCACATTCTAGATGAGGACCAGAGAGATGTGGCTTGTCTTGAAGTCATGTTGAAGATGGAACCACAGCCCAGGACTCCTCTAGAATCTTAGTCCTGGACTCCTCATTTTTGCCCTGAAGGATGTATCTGCTACCCCGCTCCCCACCCAGACCTGAAATAGACTTCCCCAGGGATATGGTAGTTCCCTAAGTTGAAACTTTTGCAAATTATTTAACAGTGTGGGGCAGTAACTAAGGGAGTCAAGCATGGGAAAGACAGATTACGTGGGGTAGCCATCGATGGGTGTGAAATTCCAGGGAGATCTTAAATACACAGCACCCACCCTTCCATCCATCACACCCCATGCAAAGCAGAAAGGACTGTTCCTCCTCTCTCCCACACTCACTACGAGGCAGTCCTTTGGTAGCTTCTCTTCTTTCTCTTTACTAGCTGCTCCAGTGTTCATTGTGGCCTGACTCCTGAAGAATAGCATGGTGATGAAGCTCATCTGTGTGACATGCTGCTGGTCATCCTTATTGAAAAACCCTTATGAATCAAACTCTAGACTTCCTTGACTTCCAACGCTCTGAGGGCTCCTACTTCTCCTGGCCAAGCTCTCCACTGCCCTCCGGGGTCAGGACAAATCATAGTTATTCTGCTCAAATTTATTTGCTCAGCTACTCCAAAGCAGTCCCTAACACATCTGAGGTCCATTTGAAGAATTCCTCAAGAGAAGAGATTTGGGGCCCCAGCAGGCAGGGAGGTTCTGAGGAGTGAGAAGGCTTACACAGCGCAGAACTCAGGCAACTTACAAGGGACTAAGGCCCTCAATTCTGACTTCAGGAGACTTGAGGCGAGTGAGCTGTTTGCCTGGAAGGCAGTCCTCTCTCAGTCAGGATAAGTTCCCTCTTCCTGGGTTCACCTCAGATTCACCTGGCAAGCCTTATTCACTTTCAAGACTTACACTTTGGCTCCTCCTGGAAGCTTCACTCAAATCCCAGATGCAGCTGAGGGCCTCCTTACAGGCTTCCACACCGATCTGTTTTGGTGTGGAATAGTTGCCTATTTACCTCTCCCTCCAGGGCAGTAGCTCTGGGAGAGCATAGGGCAGGAGCCTTTCTTCTTTTTAATGTTTGTGTCCTCATGGTTAGCACAAGGCCTGGCACTATGTAGGCATTAGATAAATATTTGTTAAATGAATCAACAGGAAGAAGGGACCATTCACATCGTTTGGATTCTGTAGAGGGGACTCATCCTTACTCTTTGTCCTCTTCTTTCGAGTAGATCCACAAGACATTGCAACCTGAAAGCACTATTGCACCTATTCATAGCCCTGAGCCATCTTGAAGGAGGGAAAGGATCTGTTTGCTAGTTACACAAGTACAGGCACAGAACTTAAAAGATGCAAAAGATCACACAGTGAACATGAGTCTCCCTCACACTCACTCTGTCTCCAATGCTCCTTCCCAACTAGAAAATTACAGCTATTGTCTCTTGGATTAGAAATTACTCACTTTACAGACAGAAAAACTAAGCAATGACCCAGTTAAGTGATGTGTCATCAGCGGAAGAGAATCTTAGAAGTCAGTGTTTGAGGCAGAAAAAGCACCCAAAGGTCGTCGTCCTGGCCCTGCCACAGCAGAGCCCCAAGCCCCCAAGCCTTGAAGCCGGCGGGCCGGGGCAGCTCCGCGGGAGGCCCGCGGCAATGAAAGAGTTAACGCTCGGGCCCCGCCCCCCACCGCCTCTTCCGGGCAGAGGGGGCGGGTCTCGCGTCACTTCCTGGAGACTGGCTGAATCCGGAAGTGGTCCCCGAGGACGAGTTGCGGCTGAGGACCCCGCAGTGGTGCCAGCTTGGGGACCATGAGCTGGTGAGTGAGGCCCGGGCGGCTGAGTCCGCTGGAGCCCCCGGCCCGCGATGGCCGGGCCCCGCGTCCGTCTGGGGCCCCTCGTCTGCCCACTCGGACCCGCCGCCCCAGAGCGGGGCCCCCGCTGACCGGGGTTCTAGGGTCGCTCGGGAGTCCTCCCTCCGGTGCTCCTGGAGCCTTCATCTCTTGGCCGGACTCATCCGGAGGTGGGGCGGGGTCCCATTGGCCAGGGACCCCCGTGTCTGACTCTTTTCTTGACTTCTGTTCCAAGGAGCCCTCCCATCTCATCCCAGCTGCTGAGGGAGGGACTTCCCTGTTCCCACTTTTATAGCCTTTTAGGTGGAGGAAGCGCCTTTCTCCTCTGTGGTCCCCTCTCCGCCGCGCCCATCAGTCCGGAGCTCTGGTCCTCACTCTGGCAGTGTGGGCCCGGCTTACTGATGAAAACCCACTTGGTTTCAATTGACCTGTCTCTGCACCACTTAACGGTCTTCAAAAGAAAAAACTTGTTTCTCCTCTGGATGGGGCCAGATTTACATAGCCACACACCCAGTATAGGATTGGGCTAGTGTTAATCATTTCCAGGACACTTTACCCACCGCTCTTCCTCTAAAATAGACACAGCAAGCTTGAACATTATGGGAATTTTCAGACCCTGAGAAAAGTAGCCAGGATGGTCAGAGCAGCCGAGTCACAATTCCAGAACTGGTAGGTATATTGCTGTGAAACTGTTTGATACTTGGCTCGCGGTAGACACTCCATAATATCTGGTTGATTTTGCCGAAAGGACTACCTTCCAGCCCAAGGACTTGCAGTCCATAACCCCACACCTCAGTGACTCCAACTACAGCGTGTTTTATGAATACATTGCCCCACCTCACCCCAGATATGTACAAGATGAGTCCACCCTTTTGGAATCCAAGTTCTATTAGAGTAAGGAAGATGGTTCCCATCCTGTTATAATCTAACCTGATTCTTTACTCAAAGTAAGTACAAAGGAACTAGTTAGGGACAAATGACGGTACTAGCATATCTTTCCAGAAAGCTTTTGTAGGCTCACATTTGGCAGTCAGCTGAACTAAAGCACTGACCACAAACAGTTGATGTCAGTCAGTGTCAAGGACAACTCTCTAATGTAAAGTTTAAACCATTTCTGCTCTCCCCTGCCCGCACCTGACCCCTTGCTTCTGAGAGGAAGATTGATGGACAAATGCAGACACTCAGCAGCAGCAGGTGGAGGGAAGCCTGGAGCCATGCCCTAATGAGCCCCACAAGGAGCTGCTCATTTTCCTTCCACCTTTGCTCCAGGAGGCCAATAGAGGGCCAGGGCCTTAAAAAGCGAACTTTCCCACCTAGTTATAACCTAGTTAATGATGGGCAAAGAGGCAATTCCCTTTCCTAGGAGAATTACTGCCTTAAAGTGCCAGTCTGGGTATACCTGACCATATGATGTTGAGGCCACTTGTCTGCTGCAACTTGAACCTTTGGAGTTCTTTTGTCTAATTTCTCAAGATAAAAAGCAGAAAGTGTCGATGTTTTATATTGCTTAGATTGGCATTTACAATGTTGGAAAATGAATCAATCTTCATATCAGAAGAACTGAGCAGAGAGCAGTAAACGTGAATGATCCTCTGATCTGAGGCACATTGCTTTCTCCTATCTATGGAAAGTGCTATTTCTGAAAAGTGAGAGGCCTGTTTCCTAAAGTCTATCAGGTTAAAGAGAATTGAAATTGACAACTGTCTAGAAAAAGCTGAGGGTTTTCTATCCAGTAGAACTAATTTACCAGTACATCCACGTCTTGGCACCTCCTTAGACCGAAGGTCACAACCAAAAGGATGGCTTTGTCCCTAAAGCTGAGATCCTTTCTCTTCCTCTTTAGAGGGCTTCTGCGTCATTTCTTGCGTGGACCCTGACCCTCTCTCCCTGAGAAGGGAACAGCATCAGCGCCTGGGCACACAATCGCTTTCAGTTACTGGCTCAATGGCTGGCAAGGGGACCAGGGCTGGGTCCTTCTGATTCACTCCTGAAGTGGTTTTCCTGCTCCCAGAATGAATCCTTCCATTCATATGAGATTGGAATTCTCAGTGGGGGAAGAGACCAGAGTGACGTAGAGTCATCATGGGAGGCTGATGCCCAGGGTCAAGTTCACCAAGCACATGGGATCTGCCAGCCATCACTGAATGAGGGGCACACAACCCATGGTCCCCAGAGGATAACCATTGTTCAGAGCTAAGCTGGGCTTTCAAAATGTCACAGTGAGAAATGTCCAATATTGATGCCCTTTGCACACTGTGGACTTTGCATGAAGAGTGAGAGGTCTTTGTTCTCTGCTTCCTCTGTGCATGCAGCCCGCCCACCCCCTGTTTGTTTAGTGGGTATTGTGGCCTTCCTGTGCTACCTACCCTTCCACTCATCCACCCCTTTGCCTGTCAGCGGGGCAGGCCAGAGGGGCATCCTGCTAGGAAGAAGACATCAGGTGCTCAAATTTCAGATCTGATCCACTTCTTGGCCCCAAGCCAAGTGCTCTTGTCCCGTCCGTCCCTGCGTGTGTGTCTTTGTCTGTCTTTACTGTGATGTGAGTTAAATAGAATTAAGAATAGTGACTTTAACCTGCTTAGCTGTCTCCAGGCTTTGTAGCCTTCCCTAGAACCATGTGCTTGAAGGTGTTAGGCTTACATGATGAGGAAAAGGGGGACTGGAGGAAATCTTCCTATCTCCGTGGGTCTAGGAGTTTGCGAACAAAGGAAGTTCGTCAGTGCACATAAGTTTGGCTGGGAGATAGAGTGCTGAGTTTGGGTTCAGTCACTCACATGTGGCTTTCTCAGGCATTTGGTTTTTCACTGCCTTGTCTTCTCCATCTGTATAGTGGGATGGATACTCCTAGCTGACATTTTGCAGCCAACATCTGCTGGGAAAAGAATGGAGACTGTGCAGATACCATTTTTTTCCTGATGCTTCTGGGCCCTTCTACCCTGTCTAATCCTTACTGGTATTCTCTGGGGTCTGTCCTCTCCACCCCTCACCCCAGACCCCCATTCGCATCCTGCGCACCCTTCCCGTCATCTCAGGATTGACTGTGGCTCTTCTGGCTCTTCCTTTCCCTCTTTATTCCAGTGTCCAAACGCCCCCTGCTCTCCTCTGCCCCCACTCTATGTGCTCTTCCCTCTGCCTGAAATTCTCTTCCAACCGCCAGTCCATGTATCCTTCAAGTGTCAGCACAGCCTTCACCTCTGACAGTTTTGCCTGCATGGCCCCACTCACCCTGTGAAGCTGAGTCGGGGCCCCTCCTCTGACCTGGAGTGTTGACTGACTTGTCAGTTACCTGCTCGTTATTAAGAGCAGGACTGTCCTCTCGGTCATCACTGTGTTCCTAGCAGTCAGTGAATGTCTGCTGAAAGTATGAATGAGAACTTTTTTTTTTTTTTGCCATTTACTAAATTGCCTTAGCTCAAAAAATTTTGTAAGATAATTCCATGTAAAATCTCTAATCTCTTCCTGAAATAGAGAGCACTTTTAGTACTACTATTTTTTTTTTTAAAAAAGATTTATTTATTTATTTATTTATTTATTTATTTATACAAGCACTGGGTACAGTCAGAAGCGCGGGAGGGTGAGAGAATTCACCAGAGCCAGAGCGGGGAGCAGAGCAGGCAGAAGGACCGAAGTACACTGCTGAGGGGAGCAGCGGGCGGCAGGAGAGGTCTGCGCGCCATGTGGGACCCTCCTCAGGTGGCCGGCGAGCAGCCGGGGATCAAACCGGTGCTGCAGAGGCTGCGGGGCAGCTTCGCAACCCAGCGCTCAACCGCTGCGCCACTGGGGAGGCCTTTTTAGTACTACTATTAAATTGACTGATGAAAGACGTGACTTTCAGGCCTCTGTGAGGATGCCTCTGATTCCTCTCCTCTCTCCCCAACCCCCCATCCCAAATTCCTTACTTCAGTATTTCCATAGCACTGCTTCTACCATATTCCATGTTGCTCTAAATGTGACAAGTGTGCGCCTCTCTCTCTGTGAGAACAGATCTACAGCTGCATCTCTGTGTGCACATATTGTCTTCCATATAGGAGGCACCTAATCGGTGAATGTTAAATGAAATCAGTGGAATACAAAGAAAGGATGGTAAACTGCTGGGTCAGACAGAACCATCTATTCTGTTGCAAACTTCTCAATGGAGTCTCTTCCCTCTGTTATCACCACTGCGGTCTTATCTTTGTCATAGTGCTTTAAATTTTTCGAGTTATCTTCCCATCGGACCTTACCCTCATACCTGTCCTTTGAAGTATGCCAGGCAGGCCTCATACCCCCTTTGACAATGTAGAGCACCCTCAGGGAGTGCCTGACACAATCGGAACTAAAGCCCGCATCCCCTGAGCATTCCCTCCACAGAACAGGAGCATTAGAAAAGTGGTAGACCAATCCAGGCTGGTTAGATCCCAGAGGAAAATATCTTACTGTACTGGGCTGTCTCACATACCAGGCTGGTAGTAAATTACAGGAAGTTGCAGTTTCACACATGAAGTGATAGTGGAAGCCCCATGTCTAGACCACCAGGTATTCTAGACCATTTCAACTTCTTCCCACCATGGAGCTTCCTTGCCTAGGGCAGCCTGGCCACTCACTCCCCGGGCACAAGCCAAGCTCACTCAGTGTTTTCCTTCTCTGTAGAGGGCATGGTAACGCCTGGGAGATCACGAATGAGTGACGAAGTCTATGAATATATGCCTTCAACATGGCCTTGGACACAAATATAGAACATCTCATCCCTACTATTTGTGGTGAAAGGGGAAGGACCTTTTTCCAGATTTTAGAGTAGTGGGGAAAAGTCTTATATCTTGAGTCCCACAGCTGCTTCTTATATCCAAAGTGTTTTCTTATATATTCTACTTTTTAAGTAAATCTGGGGAGGGAGCTTTAGAATTGATAATTAAGCTACTGGAATTGTTTTTCTAAGCCCATTATTTCGGCAGCTAATCCATTAAATGGGGTCTGTTATGGTGTGTTGC